TACCCATATGGCAAATCGTAATATCGTGTAACATGACTTGAATATATAGCAACACTAAGATCTCACACAAGACTGTACATTATTTTGTTAAAGTATCATTATCGTCAGCCAATTTGTAAATTGAATTTCATTTTTAATTAATTATAAAGCAGTAAGAATCAGTATTTGCTTCGTGCAGCAATTTGAAACAACTCCACTTGCAGGGGAAAGATATCGATACTATAACTTATAAGAATACACAACATCAGATAGACAATGATAGATAACAAGTGTTTATTTCAACAATAAAAAATATTTAACAACCAAAAAAATTTTTTTCCACCCTCGGGTGGTTTAGGGAGGCTGGTACTTCCTCGGGCGAAAAAGCAGTTTTCCGGAACTCGTTCGAAAAGTCTCCTTTACGAACCTCATTACGTCCCTCGCCTTCGGCTCGGGCCGCAAACCTCTCGGTTCGCAAACAGAGACTTTTTAAACTCGTAGAAAAACCACTATTTCAGTCCCATCTGTCACAAGTAGCATATTAATAGCAAACAGTACTTTTTTTGTTTATTTCATGAAAAAAAAGTATAAAACTGGTTTAATTGGGTTAATAAATTGATATTCGAGAAAAATCGCAATACTTGCTAACAAAATACAACCACAAACGGAGAAAACAATTTTTTCTTATTAAGGTACTATTAAATAGGTATTTTTCGGCTTTAAAGTATACCCAACATCCAAAGAAATAACGTCAGTTGTTAAATACTCATTGCTGTTAAAATAAACAATTGTGACAGATAATTGTCCATAAGATTCTGTGTATTCTTGTGAATCAGCATCGACAGCAACTCTATCCCTCAATTGACATCAACAACTTTTCCCCATCAGTTAGCGTTGTTTCAAATTGATGCACGAAGCGAATTAGATCAGTGCAAGCTACGTCAGTGGGCTCTTAGACTTTCTCGAAGTAATGAAGCACTGATAAATATTTTAATAAAATTTCCAAACCTACGCAAATATATTTGAAAAAATGAACCTTACTGAAGACCAATTAAATGATGCAGAAAATAATATGGATTATAAGTGTCCCTATGTGCTATCTGATTACAAAAGCAGTCCATCCATGATTACCAGCAATACATTGGGTCAACCTGTATTTCTTCAAGTTGATGATTCCAGTACTACAGCTGATCTGGACAAGAAGGTATGATTTTTAATAAGTTTAACTAATTTTTGTATTTCGTTTAGTTAGTTAAAACGTTGTGATTTAAATAAAGTCTTAACTTTGTATACTCCTCGAAAGGACAAAAAAGCAGTTGATAAAGAAAGTCCTAGCGACATTGGAGAAAGTGATAAACCACCTATTAATGTAGAAAAGGAAATTTAAAAAGAGAATTAAATGAAAAATGTGAATAAATCATTTGATTTACCGGAAAATAAACACAAGTTTTGGTAATTATGTAAAGTATCTTGATAACCCCGAATTAACATTAAACATTCATTACTTTTAGATGATAAAAATTATTAATAGATTATTAAATTATTTTATGTTAACTCGTGCAAAATATCCAAGTAGGCTTGCTATTCAATGCTGTGAATGAGGATTGCCTTAAAACTAAATTTGTAAAAACAAACACTCAGAAAATAAAAAGTTTTCGTCACCCACAAAAGATTGAAGCCATCAGCATATAATTTAAATTAATTAGCTGATGACATCACGATGGGTAGCAAATATTCACTGCTTTAAATTGTTATGTATTAATAAACACAATAATAATTGAAAGTATAGAAGTCCTTTTGCATAGCAGCACGAATAAAGAAAAAAAAAAGAAAAACAGACTTCAGAAATAAAGACAGCAGTATGTTTTTTGTCATAATATTTGACGTTCTTCGTTGCTGTGTAACTGCAGGCTCAAAGGACCTACTGCCACTGTGCTTGCAACAACAATCGATTTCTAAATTTCACATTTTTCTTTCCGTCAAGATATTTTTGTGTTTGATTCAATATTTTAAAAATAAATGCAAATAGATTCTTTAGTAAAACTAATAAAAATAAATGTCACCATTATAATTTTTCATTGTATAGCAGACGCCAAATATTATACATAGTGTTTTACGTACTGTTTGACGGATGGTGTACCGCATAATAATCGCAGATATAGGTGTGGTCTAGTGTAAAAAAACTTGAGTTTTTTATGTCTTTGCTCTAAATAAACAGTTGAATTGTTGAAATAATATTTATATAGAAAAATTTCATTAAAAGTGCTTAAGTTTTTTTGTACTTATTATACAAAAAATTCTGAATCAGACATGAATTGTAAACTTGAACAAAGAATATAGTGTTAAAATATCATTACTATAACCCGTCTCTGATAAAAATCTCACATATTTTACCTTTATTGAAAGAAAATATCGATTCCATTAATTATTTATACCGAAATATCTAGAAATTAAGTAAAATACCTACTGAACTATACGGAAAGAAAATTTTAAAAAATCTTTCCGTAGTACATGTTTTGTCTGAAATTGCGTCTCTCTATTTTGTTGGTTTTAAATTTTTTGTGAAAACACTTGCAGTACAATTGATTTTTGACATTAGTGGATTCACCACTGACATTATTTACCCTTATCTGTATGGACTATGTTTACAAACTTGCAGAGTGTATTAAATTTGAAAAATTTTTAATTGCGACTGTCTTTACTTGGGCCCTTGAAAATATAATAAAATCAGTCGATACCGTATTCAGCTATATCTTCAGCTGTATCCATTTTTTGAAACGATTTAAGATGACGGTAACCCCAAAAAATGAATTTAACTGTTAATTATGTAAACAGATTCATTTCTTGTGTAGGTTACAGATTTAGTAATAAAGTTTAATTAAATATCAGAGTAAGCACAAGCTAAAACATAAAACGAACTATAAGCAAGAGCTATACATAAATGGGTTTGACACGGTAAATTTAGTGGAGCAAGATTATTAACTTTTAAAGAAGTCATCTAATTTTTCCCATTCTCTTATGCACATTCATGATTTATTATGTTATTTCTTGTTATTGCATAACTGGTTTGATAACTCATTCGCAGTGGCATATTTTTTTACTTTTCAAATACGTAAAAAAACATGGAAAAGAAGATCTAGCTTTGGTCCTGTCTTATCTTCCTGACTCAGAGACGTTGGGAGAAAGAGATGGAAAATGAGTTCGTACTGCTACCGTTAGAGCAGGTAACGGAATTTCCTTATCTCCAGGCAATGGTCAGCTGACTGTCTATCTGAATTGTAACTACGGTTATACTAATTATGAAGGTGCATAGAAGCAGAATTTAAATTTTGTAAATTACACATGAGCAGAAGAAAATAATACGTTCTGGAGTGCAATCTTTTATCCAGCAAAAAGCAAAGTGTCGAAAACTCGCCAACAGTGACGTCACACGCAATGAACGTAAAGACATGTGCGAACGTATTGGATCAGTGCAAGCCACGTCAGTTGGCTCTTAGACTTTCTCGAAGTGTTGAGGCACCAATAAAAAATTTTATTGTAATTGCTAAATCCACGCAAATAAATTTGAAAAATGGAGCCTACTGAAAGTGCATATAATGATTCGAAACAACTTGACGATTATGATATTATCTATAAGATACCTGATTACCAAAGCAGTCAATCCATGATTGCGAACAATACATTGAGTCAACCTAAGTTTCTCAAGGTTAATGATTTCAGTACTACAGTCAACCTAGACAAGAAGGTATGATTTTTAATAAGTTTAACTAATTTTTGTATTTCGTTTAGTTAGTTAAAACGTTGTGATACTCCATTTTTTTTTAAGAACGACTTTGTCAAGCAGCTGGATTGCACACAATTCACCTCAAGTGAAATTATTGTTAAGGTGAGTTCTGATTTTACTTTTTCATTTGGTTAGCTCAAGGTATGGAAGAATGAGTGAATGAGTGTCATCCAAGCTAACTACTTAATTATGTCATGTACATTTTAAAAAACTACTAAATTAAAAATGATTAAGTTTTTTTCCATCAAAAAAAACATTGCTATACTTAAACTAACTTTATTATTTTTACAGCTTGTTGGTGGGGACATTATAGTTGAGGCAGAACAGGAAAATCAGAACACGGGTGAAAATGGTCTTTTAAACTTGAATAAGACGTTTTATAATGTCTCCGACCTATACGATTTGGAAAAGGCCAAGGTATGGCTTGATTTAGATAAAGTCTTAACTTTTTATGCTCCTCGAAAGGACAAAAAAGCAGTTGATAAAGAAAGTCCTAGCGACATCAAAGAAAGTGGTAAATCACTTATCAATTTAGGAAAGGAAATTCAAATAGAGAATTAATTGAAAAATGTGAATAAATCATTTAATATACTAAAAATTAGGCTGCATATCAAAAGCACTAAATAGCCTGTTTTTTGACGTGTCACGAGCGCCAAATGAAACCTTTCGAAAGTACTAAATAAAATCTTTCAAAAGCGCTAAATGGAATACAAAGTGAATACATGTATGCAAAGTGTATCCTAGCATAAATTTGGTAGTTCTTAAATGTACATAGTGATTGTTTTGCAGTTCTTGAGCAAGCTTTGTTTTATCGATTGTGCACTCATAATGTCTAATTTTTTACTTCTACGACTAATAAAGAAGATACTTGTCTAATTTATAAAAGAAGATCATTTTCCACAAGAGGCTGTGTACTCTTGTTAGTTAGTATCAACATAAAGAAAAATAATTAATAAACAATTTACTTAAAAGGATGAGTAAAATCACATGGAGGGATAGACAATATGAACTAAACCAAACCAGACAGCTGATATGTATTACAGTTTAATTTAGGAATAAATAACTTTGAAAAAAACCTTATTTAAACGAAATACTGATGTTTCTTACCAATAATATATTAATTTTTATTCTACGCGTATAGTGTACCTTATAGATTATGGTACGGTTCCGTAAATATATTCGGACTAAAATAAGATAAACAAAAACGTGCAAAAAAAGCGTGAAAAAAAATACTCACCCCGATCTCCTCGTAATCAGGCCGGTCGGGCGCTGCAACCAATCGGTGTCCAGCACGCCTGCCAGCCAAAGCACCGGTCCCGGTACCGGCTCGTCTTTCGTCGATGAAGAAGATCTCCGTGAAGACGATGACACCGAATACGGCGAAAAACATGACCACGAGGATGAACGACATGTTGGCTCGATCCTTGAGGACACTGGCGTTGCCACGGCCCCCGCCCGGGCCACCCCGTCGCCCGCCCATTCTCCTCGTACTCTGCGTTTTCATCCACACGCAGATAATCAAAAAAATTAAGGTGCGTTAAACGTGACATTGGATTACATTGAATCTCTAGCATACAATGTGTAGAGTAAGCTTGGAGTTAAGTGGGATTGGTTGGGAGTGGGTGGCAGCCCATTGAATAGCGGTGACGCTTTTAGGACCTGTTAGCTCGCCGTGCGGTGGTTTGGGCAGAATTGATTTGCGACTTGGAGGGCTTCGAATGGCCATTGTCGAATGGACGATTGAGAGTGATTAAGTGCATTGTCGCGGAACAATGTGTTTGTGGTGTTTGGTCGTTTAACAGTGAAATTCGTCGTGAAGTAACTTTTATTGATATAGCTATTAATTTGCTGATCGAGTCACTGTATTACTTCGATGAGTCAAATGAATTTGAGATTGCCTAACTTTCGTTTTGGCCTTAAATCCAGAGGTGTAACACGTGAGGCTTTGTATATCTTTTGCAAATAATTTTTGTTAAAGGCCTTATAAAGAATACCTTTGGAGGACAAGATAACAATTCAGTTAATACTATAAGCTTGTCGGTATTTACGTTCCTGTATCATTAAACCCTACATCCCAAATGTAATTTTAAGTTAAGAGTATCAAAGGTTGGATCTGCGATACTAACTCGATTCTTTAAAAAATACTCGATTATTTTTGTAAAGTATCGATTATTCACTGGATAATTTTTAAGTTTCGATTCTGTGGTGTAATCGAAATATTTGGAGGAAAAAAAAATTTTTTTTGTAACACATATACATCGTTCGGACACGCTTAATTTTTCTGATACTGAATTGAAAATTGATCAACTCATTGAAAAATAACAAGTTGATCATGCTTTTAAATATTAATTATTTATTGGATGGTTTAATTGGTTACATACATTTATGGACGGATTCGCCTGGACAGAAATATTTAAGTACGAGATTTAATANAAAAAAAAAAAAAAAAAAAACTATGTACATTTTTTTGATAACACATACTTTCATATTTAATGATCATTATTGTACGGTATTATCTTTTACCTACGTGAATCAGGCCAACGTAGTACAACTTATCTTTGGCCATTAGCAACTCTAACGAATCTAAAGACAAGTTTCAAATAGATGCCTTTTTTCCAAACATTTTTAACGAAATGGTGAGATACTTTAGTTTTGGTGACAACAACAACAGCTTGTTTATTTAATGGGACGATTAAAAATGTTCCTGTACTGCCATGATTAATTCTGATTTGATAACGCTGCGGATATTTGCTACTACTGTATTTTAATTCTATAAAAGTTTACGCGAAAAAGTACTGAAAAATGAAAACAACACCTAACTTTTGCTGAGCAACATATAGCAACATGGGATAGTTAGTTAATCTTTAAAATTAAATGAAAATTAGGTGGATAAAAAAAAAACTGGCTTTACTTTTGAACTGATGGCACATCGTGCTACAGAAAAATATAAAATTTTAACAGGGCTATAGTTATCATTATTTTTAATTGCAAGACGATTGTGGCTAAATTCAAAAAAATTATTTCTAATTTTGTCTACACGTTGGTAAAATCGATTTCTCCAAATATTAAAACAAGATCAGGATGTGTACAGAAATACTTATTATAATTCGTTTGACTGACAGAAGATAGAATTGACTGACACGAGTATAGAATTTGATCAATATCTTACTTTAAATAGAATTTCTGCAGGAAAGATTATGATTTAAATTAATGGAAAAGTGCCACAGATATTTTTATATTACCCTAAATACAGTTCCGTTTATTTAATGCCTCATCATTTTTATATACATGTATTTCATATTTTATCATTTTCATTATTTTTTTGTTGTTTCATCGTTACAAAAATACTTTCTAATAGTTTGTTTTTGATCAATATACTAAAAAATTTGTTTATTGCGATGATTTATACTGTTAATTATATTTATACGTAATATGAAATATCAGAAATTTTTATGCGCGGTTTTTTTCCAGTTGAGCTATTCCATAAATGTGGCAGAAACTTTGTAAAAAGATTATGCATAAGCATAATACGTTTTTATCACAAATATGTAAGGTGTACAGTAAATATTTATATATAACACTTTTAAAATTGATGCATACACAAGTAAAGTTTTGAAAAAAGTGTAAGCTTGAGCATGTATCAGTGCAAGGATTTCAGTTAAGGGTCGTACCCAAATGCCGTGGACGATTTATTCGATTTTTCGACCCCCCTCTCTCCTCTAATTTGTAAACTTTATATAAATCAGAATTAAACCCTCCTCCCTAAAGTTGAGTGGACTTACTTTTTCTTTCTACAATTTCGAAAAAAGATTGTAAATATGATATTTATTGATTATTCACTATTGAATATCGAATTATCATAAACTTTTACCATATTTAAATGACTTTTTTTTCAAACGAAGCGAAGCAACGTTAGTCATGATAAGTATAAATATTGTATATAAGCATATTTAATAATGTTGTCAAAAAATGCCTTAATCAACAAAAATCATAGTGGAACTCCAAGAGAGCAACATTAAATAAAAAAAAAAATTTTCCACGTCAACTATTAGGTAAAAATAATTTAAAAGCTAATATTTCAGAATAAAAAAAAAGTGTTTTGTCACTCATAAACTTCCGACCTGCCCTCTTTCTCCAGCGTAAACATCCGTATGATTCAAAGAAACCCCTTTCCCCTTAAAACTGTCCACAGTATTTGGGTACGACCCCTAAGGCATATATCCCTTGAAGGGAGTTAACGTCAAAAATAAAGTTTTTCCTATTCTCCGTTGAAAAATCAATTTTTTTCTTTGCGGGAACTAATGAGATCATGCGTAAATTACCCTATGAATAGTTTTTGTTATAAAATGAACATTATAATTCTTTTGATACAACTACTTTTGGTTGATTTTTTTAGTTCTACATTGACCGTATTTAACCAGTTTTTTCCATGGGACGTCAGTGTAGTAATATTCCAAAATAGGATCTGAGATTTGTCTCAGACAAATCAGAGTCTGATAGACAAATCTCAGATCCACTTACTTTATATTATTCATCCGACACTCGATGTATAGAAAAGTCAAATAAATAATATCAATACTATCAGTCATTTCAAAGTAACTTTCTCTATTTTGGGTACTTCTTATCCCTCCTTCATGTATCGTCTATGTATTTTCTTTCATATGCGTGTTTGTAAGTATTTGTTATGTCGACATACATTTCTCTTTCGCGCAATGTTGAAAATTGATATCGTTGCTATGCCGTAACTATTACTAATCACATTAAAATACTCAGAAAAATCATAACCGTTAAATAAAAATACGACACTATGAAAGTATCACGTTAACAACCACTATCACAAAGCTACAACCATTTTTCATCACGCGGGCGACCGTGGTTCAATTCCCGGCCAGTGCGACTTTCGGGCAAGTACCTCTGTGATTTTTCACATGTGCTTTTTCACCACGCAATGCTTCTCGAGGAGGGTTTAGGCGACCTTCTCGCAGCAAAAATTGCCTAATTTCCCCCTACCCCCCTCCCAGTAATGTGAGGCCTCCCATCCCTTTCCTTGTCCTCCAAAGTGCTAAGTGCCCATAGTAGTGCCCTTATTAAAGGAGCTGGACGTAGAGCACTATAATATATAAAAAAAAAAAAAAAAACCATTTTTCATGTCCATTTGTTATAAAACAATCCAAGAGTTCAAATTTTGTGGTTTCCGAACCCAGTCATGGCTAGTGTACACTAAAAATACGAAATATTCGTTCGAGCGGCGAGATATGAATGTATCGAATGTCAAAGCGTGCATTGTTTGCTATCAGATTGTATCGACTTTTTTTTCATCCATTTTCCCGGCAGAATAATAATCTTTCATCGTGATCGGAAAATTGCATGTTCCAGCGAACACTTCAAATAATCAAACAGTGATGAAGTCCATTGGAACAGAGTAATGACTGTTTTATTTATATACATGAATCAGCATGCAAGAACGGATGAGAAAAAAGTCATTTCAATACAATTAGATATCGGTGAAAATCTACTGCAACCAGTAAAATTGACTTTTGACTGGAATTTCCGTTATTGCAGATCGAACAAAAAATGGAAAATATTGTCCCGACACCAAATCGAACTATACTTACTACGAGTGGTGAAAACTTAACGGGGAAGAAAAAATACTAAACGTTTATCGGACAACAAGTTAATTCACAGTTGTAAGGAACCATTTTCAAATCTTGATTTATAAGTGAGATGCATCGAAATGTTAACACTATATAACAAGTAAATCTTGGACAAACAAATTTCTTTTAGAGGATTACGGAATGGGGTCGCGTCATCTAAATATAATAAAGTCACCTTCTCCAATCAAAATAACCGGTGGTCATCATGTAACCTTCAATTTTATCATCCCCCACTTAAAATATTCTGCCACTTATTATCCATGCTCCTAACGTATAAATACGTATTGAAGAAACCCTTTTAAACCTAACGTGAGATTGGTGAGTACAGGATGGACTTAAGGATTTTATAAAACAAAGGATTGCACTGCAAAGGAGTAGAAAAAAAATTGGTAATGGTACAAACAACGAAGTATACTTTATTTAGCTTTACTTACTCAGAGCGTCCGAGACGGGCGAACCACCGTGCATGGAGGTGGTAGACTGTTCTGTAATCAGAAAATTAAGAGTCCGATGTTAGCGACACCATGTATTCGTGTAACTTATACGTAGAGTTGCTTCTATTTAGTCATTTAGAAAAGATAAAAAAAAAAAAAAAAAAANATCATTAAATATGAAAGTATGTGTTATCAAAAAAATGTACATAGTTTTTTTTTTTTTTTTTTTTAACCACCAAAAAAAAAACCCCCCCAAAAAAGGGGGGGCAGAAAAAAAAAAAAAAAACTATGTACATTTTTTTGATAACACATACTTTCATATTTAATGATCATTATTGTACGGTATTATCTTTTACCTACGTGAATCAGGCCAACGTAGTACAACTTATCTTTGGCCATTAGCAACTCTAACGAATCTAAAGACAAGTTTCAAATAGATGCCTTTTTTCCAAACATTTTTAACGAAATGGTGAGATACTTTAGTTTTGGTGACAACAACAACAGCTTGTTTATTTAATGGGACGATTAAAAATGTTCCTGTACTGTGTAACTATTTTTAATGAACATTTTTGGAAAATACTTTTTCAAGTTTTCCTTAGTGGTTCGCGAAAAGTTTACATCTGATCTTGCTGAGTGTGAACATTAAAGGCTATACGATACTTTTATTGTTGTTGAAATTTCAACTCGAATTATTAGTTAAAACGTGAGTTATAAATATACGGAAAAAATGGCCAAAAATGACACTTTTCCGTGTTTTGCGAGAAAAATTTTTTTATAAACCACTTCTAAATTCCATGGAAAGTTTCAACGTATTTATAACGTCACAATACATTACTTTAGAAATACTGGACAACAAAAAGAAATTTCAAACATTAACGTACAGTTTTTAAAACGCCAAATAGCCAGTATCAACCAGCCCCGATTATGTACAAATATTCGCGATTAGCTGTAGTAGTAAAAAAGTGCATTAATTGGTAGTAAGTAGGTATACTTAGTTCTTATATGTTTGTTACCAACCTTTTGTATTTTCAAACAAATACGTTATTTATTAACTGTTAACAATTAAGTATTAACTTGTTTTTTTGGATCAATAAACACTACTTAAATAAAATTCATCTTCTTTACTACTGTACCCAATAAAATTAAGAATTCGCAAATACGGACCTGTATGTTTTGTAAAACTAAGTAGACCCACACTCATTTTGTATCGAAAAAGATTTTTTTTTTCACCTCAAACAATTGTTTTATTCATCAAAATTTTTGCTACAACAGAAAAATAATTTTATGGACTGAGGGAAAAAAATTAAAAAACCACCAAAGTATTGCTTCTTACCTACACTGCAGCATTATAATTTATTTTGTTTCAAGAAGGTGCAGGATGAAAAAAGGATTCTCGATCGAACGCTGAAAAATAACCATTGGCCATTTAACAATGGATGTACGCAGGCACAAGACCGTATGCGAGCGCAGGAGGATGGATTCGGTTTCAGTAGCGTCGATCGACCGACTAAATAATGAACAGGTCGTGGATGTACACACATGTAAATATACGTAGCATGTTATAGAAAGGAGTAAGTATAGTAGAGGTATCGAAGTCAAGGGGAGCAAGAGGGTGAAGAAAAAGAAATATAGAGCCAAGAGCTTAGGATCGATTTCCGGGTGTGGTGCAACAGGCGGAGGAAATAAAGTGTGTGTGTGTGTGGGTGCATATATATACTGCTCTTGCCACCCACTTACGTTTTTCATATACATGTGAAGCCTCTTTTTTCCATAGATACTAACACAGTACTTTTTTGCACGTATACGTAGCTGATGCCAGTAGGTATATTGGTTTGGTATGCTTTGAGCGCGAGCGAGTCACCTATACATGCTGGCCCTACGTATTTGTAGCTGTGCATTGCTAAAAGTCATTTGTCGTTCATTGGAGCATTTTTTGACATGTGCTCGTTTGTCCGGAACAACCATATCCTATTGCTCAGGACGTTGGGACGAGTTTTGAATTTTTTTGTTTTTTTTATTTTCCAAACCGAAGAGCTGGCAAAGTTATTTGTGGCATGTGTATATATAAATATGTATGTAAGTTTTTTTTGGGGATTGGAATGAAAAAAAAAATTTTCTGTATGCGAAATGAAACAATTTATTTTTCGCTAAAACTACATTCTTCTATAGCTTATTGTATGATTATAAACAGCTCACTTTTTGCTTTCTTGTAATGAAAGTTTCAAACTGATACTCTGAAAAATTCAGTTTTCTCACAAATATACGAGAAATTTTTCTGACAGTGTTTAAGATTGAAAAAACATAATAATTTTCACCCCTGATGCATATACGATTTTGTACCATTATACGATTTTTCACTTTCCATTATCAAACTACGATGCTTTTTTCACGATTTCTCTACATATGAAAACAGTATTTTAAAAGACACAGATTGTGGCGAAAAACGTTTCTACGAGCAGAGAGTAGGAGTTTTTACCTGAGAGAAATGTTGCGCTTTCGTCCCTCAAATCAGGGAAGAAACGTCTATCTATGAGAGTATGGCGAAAAATTCATTATATTTATTGTTTACTCTGTGTAGCTCGTATGTATATGAATAATAAAAGGTGCATAAGCCTTAGAAAAATATGTACGTAGCTCGTGTGATTGACTCGTACTCCTAGCCGGTGATAGTAAGCCATACCGTGCGATCAACTAGCACTCTTGTTCTCGTCGACTTGGCCTATACTTGTGCGCGTCGATCACAACTCGTGCAGAAAATCGTCTTTTCCACACTTGTTACGTACACTGAGAGAAGGATTTGTTTACCATCGACGTACAAGTATGCTAATAGAAAATTGGTTTACATGTTCTTTATGACTTTTTAAATTTCAACTGACACAGACGGCATGTTAATAGTTAACATGCCATATTCACGTTGAACCTGCGTTACATCAGATGGCACCACGTGGGATACATATCATATACGTAAGTCAATAGCTAACATATGAAGTTAATTACTAACAAGTCCTTCTCTCAGTATACATAAATAACCATAACAATTACGTTGTATCGTAAATACATTTTCTTTCGCCCGATAATCCCTTTGAACAAATTCATACACTCAGGTACGCACATTTTTCGCCTGACCAAACGACCCGACGACTACCGGGAAACGCGTATAAATGAAAATAAATTAAACCCCCTCCGTGCCCGTTTCCCCGCCCGAACAATCTACCACATTTTTTACGCCCGCAGCTGCAACGCCGAGGCATAAATTGTTGCACGATCATTCACAAGCCAACATTAAGATTTCAGACACGGCATTTTCCATGCATGCGGCCGCCGCGGCGGACGGTGGGAACGAAACGGCGCTCGAACACGTGAGCCTTAAAATGTATTTGCACACGCTCCCCATATATGTATACTCAGCCCACGCGTTATCTCTTCAATTTACCGCGCTATTTACCCCTACATTTTTCAGTCTTGCTAACTTTCGTCGGTCGGGTGTACATGGATGTTTCGATTCCAACCTTTTCGCGGCAGCCCAGCTAAGAGCGAATGGCACGATTTAACGGTACTGTATCGACGCTGAACTCTTTTTTCCATCACAAAGTCCCGACGGAAAGAAATGGCCATCCCGCCTTTTCGACCTTACGCCTCATGCTTTATGCACAGCCGGAAGCGAGATGCAGACTCATACGTGAGACTCTCTTATACACTTATACCAATTCCAGACGTCCTGTATACAGGTATATAGACCCACTCGATAGTTTCGAGGACTTTGCGAGATGCGTCTTGCACCATACATCCCTAGAAGTAGAGGATTATTTAGTCCCCCTCTGAGTGACCTTATGTTGTTTTATGTATATGCTCTATTAACTCGAAATAGTTCTAAAAACTGGTACAAGTGCGCATCCAAGGACACTTTGACTTTCGGTCGGTAAAAGTATCCCTCATTACAAATTGTAAAGTTTTTTTCAACGAAAATAATAGTTGCCAAATGGCGTCCGTTTTCACTCGTCGAAAAGTGAGATGCCCCTACTTTTTCCCCACATTTGAATATATGTACTTTGAGATGGTGGATTCTCGCTATTTCCAGTTTAGAGAAAGCGAACGATTTTACGTATCTATTTTACATAAATGTACGTTGGATATTACCATACCTTTGCAGAAATGTTACATGAAAAAACATCATATTCGTAACATTATGCAAACATTTCACTGCAGAGTTAGTGGACCTTATTTTTTCAGTGGAGTTGAACTATTCCAACTAGTAGAGTTTAGATTTTTCCAAATCGTTTTGGTGACTATAATCACTGAATTTATACACTGACTTATAGTTTTATCAATTTTTGTCATTGCTCATTAATGACGTTCAAGTGAAATTTTCCCAATTTGCTTCTAGAACGAATGTTCTTTGGCGGGAGACCATTACCCAATTCCTATTGAAAAAAGCCCAGTAGCCGCAGGAGCGAGCTATATAAGCTTTCAGTCGAAAAAGCGTCCGGTAAAGCCATAGCCCTGGCAAAAGGAGAAGCACCCGAGGCGGTGGCCGATCCAAATACCAGCTCGAGTATACACCCTTTTTGGATGCATCCTCTGAAACGCGGGAAGAGACTAAAAGTGCCAAAACGTGTGTTTGTGCATGCGTGTATGTATATTATAGGTAGAAGAGCGTTGAGGCAGTTAACGTATGTACACGAGGGGTCAGGATAAATCGGTGACAAGATAGAGGGAGGGGGACGACGTTCGGCATCTGCCTTCCTGCGGGTGCTGTCGGGACTCGAGAAAAATCGAAGGAGAGTCCGCCTCTCTCGTGTATCCGGGCGCAGATCTCTTGAATAAATCCACGCGCAGCAGCTGTGCACGTACACGTCTCGAGGCCCTGATGCAGCCTCGAAAATCCATACTCCCACATGTATATATGTATATACATATTTGCGCGCGTGCATGCAAAGAGGCAGAGACGAAGACGAGGCTCCGTCAGAGGAAAATGAATTTCCCTTACGCATCGCCGGGGTGCTTTCCGCCTCGGCTTCCTTTTCAATCTGCCCCCGCGCGTGACCGGCTTC